CTTGATTTGAAAATGTCCTTGTTTGTTAGAAGATTGCATAGCCCATATTTTATTAATCTATGTACTTATTCATTTAATATGGCCATTTACTTAGTGAATAGTTAAATTAATAATTTATGAATAATTACACCAGAAATCGCATAATATGACAATTGATACACATTAATGCGAGCGTATCAAATACTCATCACATAAATGTTGATCTACCCTTGGTATGGTACAAAGATCTTAATTAAATAACTGCAAAACTTCTTCAAACGATTGTACTGTTCCATCCTTTATAAATTAGGTATGGTACCCTCGTGTTTAATATATATTTTTCTGTTCTAGGAACTTGCTTTCTGTTGTAGTTAAATAATTTTTGGATTAAGTCCGGCCGTTTTACGGTGGACAATATTGACATAAAGCTTTTTTTTAATTATTTTAATTAATACTCTGATAATCAGATAGTATAAAAATCTATTAGAAATTAGAATACCTACTTAGGTATATCCATATTTCATTTAGATCTTTTAAAATTATATTTTCATAGATCCATAGATTTATAAGAATTTTTGATATTGCACTTTTCCAAACATAAGTAGAATTAAATGTCTAAAGTGATGCTGTAAGATACTAGTGAAAAGAAATAAAATATTTTTGTACAAGCCTGGCAAAGACTTGGCTAATTATCTTTTACCTCGATTGCCTTTATAGAAATACAATTATTATCAATTAGATTTGTTTCTTATAGAAGTGATATTATAACTTTTCTGTTATTAATTCTGCCTACATTCCATTTATTAAGAAATGTATACTTTTCTTAAATTATAAAAAAAATAGAAATAATACATATTATAAAATAAATAGATACAATTGCAAGTTGCAGCATCTCATCATATTTATTTATCTCTTATCTCGTTCTCATCGAGATCTGCTGTTAAAGCTCTTTTTGCCCACAATAAGTTTAATAAGTTATAATAAGACTGATTTAAGTATGTTAATATTTACTTAAGATTGGTGAAGTTGTGAAAATTTAAATGATATAAACGTAGCTATGGACATATTTAATGTGAAAACTAATGAGGCTATTTCCAATTCCACTAATATGTATATAATAAAATTGTCAAATCAGAAATTAAAAAAATGAATATTAAGCGGTCAGGTTAACTCTATTTTAACTAAGTGAACATTTAAAAACAGATTAGATAATCCCATTTTTATTTAACATTAATTAAAAATGGTATAATTGTGTTAGGAATATCTTATACCCCCATAATTTTGGTTAGAAATACTAGATTAAACTAGTAGAAGATAATTCTAACTTTATACTGTTAAACAGTTGTACTTAACTAAATTGTAGTTAACAATGAAAAGTATAAAAGTTGTAGGTATTTAATTTACCATTATTTTCAGGTAAGTGCCCCAATAGTTTTAACAAATGTGTCTTCATTCCTTTACACAAAACAGGAAATAAATAATTGTTCAGTAGTTATTATCTATTATTTCAGTCGGTAATTATAATTACTAGGGCTCTAGTTATAATTACTAGACTGCAGCCATTATAAACCAATATCGTTATCACTGTCTCTATCAAAAATATTTGAAAATCATTAAATCCCAAATAATGAAGTAATATAATATTTAGTTATTAAAACAGATTTACATGGTTTTACTAGTTTTTATAGTTGAATTTGAATAAAACTGAACATATGGTTTTCAATATTCAAAACTATTTTAATCTAGATAACTTAAAGTTTAGAGGTCAAAACTGTGTAGAGCTACAAAATTGTGTTTCATGAATTATGATTCATATAAGATGTAACTGCGTTACTATTAAAAATAAAATAGTTGTATACTTTGATTCATTGATAACTGACTAAAATGAAAATATCAAAAATATTGAATATGTTATAAAACTATTCAATTATTATCAAGACATTATTTATATATATCTATAGTTATTAGATAATAGCAGGTATTGTTAAGGGTTAAACTTACTAAAGCTAATTTATTATTTAAATGTTGAATCTATAATTATTTACTACATTATACTATGCATATAAATAAAGATAACGGTATCTGGACTTTATAATACAATTTATATCGAACACATCATTGTATACTCAAAGAGAGTATTCAATATGTTAAACATCCTTCGTTTAAACGTATTATATAATATCACTTAATACAATACACAGATACAAATCACTCGTTATCGAGAGTAAACGTGTCTATGAGAACAGATTTAGAAAAAATACATTTGGTTTACTTTTACTTTATTGTGTCAAAAACTACATCTAAAAACTAATGCATTTCTAAATAATAAAATTATAAACAAATATATACTATATACTAAATACGCTTTGTTTTTTTATCATAATTAAATATTATTTAATTAAAAATTATCAAAAAAGTAAGTGGTTATTAAAACATGTTTTCAGTTGTAAAATAACACAAACAAAAATGTTTTGAAAAATAATTTTACCTAATTGAAATTATTATGTGAGAAAATTAGTCAATCACACTATATAATTAAGCTAACCAAGAAAAAACAACTTTTATTTCTAAAAAACAATATAGACTTCCTGTCTATCAGGCTACCTATAGTAACACAGTATACATTTCAGACCAATTTTATAATTTATAAAGTACAATTCATAAAGTTTGATAAGTCATTTAAATAAATAATAAATAGTAATAATAGAAATAATAAATGTAATAGTTTAAAACACATAAAATAATCTGGTAAAAAGTATAAATAGTATAAAATGATACTTAAGTAAAGATATTTTTTTAACTAAAAATGTATATATTATAAACTAAACATTAAAATTTACAAATGTATAATTACTTGGTTTAGCAAAAAAAAATTGTACTGTTTTTTTTTTTTAATCTAGGTATTCAAAATTTTGACTACACAATTTTTCCTAACAACATCAACATAATTTCATAACAGTTTACAAATTTTCAATCTTTCAGTTAGGTCAAGATATTTTTACAATAAATTAATATTTTAACGTTATTAAGGTAAATATTAATAAATAAGCAAATACAGAAGCTACATTTATAATTTATTTGGTAGGCTAATAATTATGTTTGTCAAAATTGTAATAGTAATATACTGTTAGTATCGTTAAACTAAAGATACTTGTATTGACACTTAAAGTGTAAAAATATTCAAACAATAATACAAGTATTCAAAAAAAAAAAATTTAAACAATCTTAATTTTGTTTTAATGTAGTTGAAAATTAAAAATATTTAGCCAAATGAGATATCAGTGTAGTGGTCATAAATACAGTACAGTTTATATGGATGTTGAAGACAGGATAATAAGTTATTCAATAAATAAACAACTGAATTACAGTTGATTAATAATAAATTATAATGAGAATTTTTTAAATAAAATTAAACAAAATATAAAGAGATTGGAGATGATACTACGATGTTTAACAGCAGGTAAACTGAAATACTGGGTGGCGTTTATACTGTTAGTCTGGAACAGAATATTCTTCCAGGGGTTTTGCACAAAATCCAATTAACTTCAACAACAAATATTCAAATATAGTGTCAAAAATCCATCATGGATTACAGTGTCCATGGAGAAATATATGATATGTCCATTTAATCTTCCTCTGGTCACATTCTAGCTGAAAAAACAACAAATGGTTAAATAATATAATAATAATTATAATATAAAACCAATTTTAAATGAATTACTAATGTTAACGTTTGTTAATTGTGAAGTTAAAATTAAATATAACGAAAATTGATAATGACATTTTTTTATACCATTCAACTTAAATTATCTATCAATAACACTTGGAAGAGTGATTTCATGAATAGACTATATTTGTGACCGGTATATATCAAGTGGACCTAGTTTGTTATCTCATACCAATGAAACGTAAAATCTACAAGTAAATGCAATTTTTCTTGTACAAAAACTAACAATGTTAGAAAATAGTAAATTAAATTATTAAAAAGAAAGATAATTTACATTTGATTTCTTTTTTTTTAAATACCCTATATTAGGGTGTTTTAGATTGATATTAAACTAATTTTGTATCAATATTTGTATTAATACTACAAATCTAGAATGTTTTCCTTACCTAGTCTATTTAGACAAATGATAAAACAATTATTTCTTCCAGTTAGTGTCGAAGGAGAACTGTTCAACCAGAATCTTTGACTTATCTTAAAACTGAAAGATATATTATTAATAAATAAGTAAAAAGTTGAAATGTTAATTATTAAAATAATAGAGATTAAATCAATTAAAACAATTTTACAAAAAATAACTCCATACCTGTTACCACACTTAATCAGACTAGAGATAGTTTCAGGAATCGAACCGCTCTAATGAATAAGCATACCAATAAGCTTTTTATGACTTCAGACAACTACCATCATACTGTAAAACATAATTTACTTGTATTAATAGTTTTATTTAAATAGGATGTAATAATATTGTCACACAAATTAGTACAATATAGTGTATGTATGAACTTTGTCGCTAGGTACTATAATTGATAAATATATTATGTTATTCATATTAAATATTGCAAGTTTATATTATGTGAAAATAAGAGTTTTGAATTATGAATTAAAAAAGAATTCTAATACAAATATTCATTTAATATTAATAAGAAACGAAAGTAAATTTTATTTACCAATAATTATCGTTGTCGTCATATGAACTAGTTGGTTTTTTGTCATTATAAATGTATCGTAAAAATGTGTACTATTTAAGAAAATATAATATATTTTAACACGGTTATTTTTTTTTATCATTTGAATTATTGCCGTTTAGTTCTAGAGATAACAGTTAACTCTGATAAACGTTAGTTATATTTTAGTTACTTTTATTCTAATAGAATTGGCAGACTGATAGAATGTGATTTTATATTTTGGTGTTTCTGGGTTGGTCCACGCTGATAAAATAAAAATTGTGTTATCTTTTGGAAGAACTCTTATCTCTTATCATTTTTTGGAAGAACTGCCCTGTACACAGCGTAAGGACGATGCCGCAGCCATTTTTGGTCCGCCATTCGATAATCTCACACGACTTCGTCTACACGCTTGGTGTCTTTTTTCCAAGCAGACATTCTGTTAATAACTTTGTGCTGTACACGTTAGGTAAATATACAAGCTGTTATATTTAAATAAATAAAACTGCCAATTTGTTTGCAGTATTGGTGCCACGGGTCCGATTCGTGAACATCTCTAGATTTCAATCATAATAACTTGGTCGAATTCTACGATAAATACCTTAAGTATTGCGTCGTGTTTCGTTATTTCGTTACAATTGTGTTTTGTCTTGCATGTCAATAATTTTTTATAAGTTTTATTAGCAGCGCTGGAAGGTGGTTTATGGTTCTACGTTGTGTGAGTACCTATTGTTTTGTATTTCTAATTTATATACATTATTGCCGCGTTTACTGTCTCCCGCGGACTTAAAACACTGCTTTTGAATTAAAAGAATCATAATTTATTTGGTAGCTTGTTACTTATTAGTTATCCGGAGTTGAGTAGAGTAATATAGGATCAACACCATTTTAAAGTAATCTAGTCGGCAAAGTGGCCAATCGTCTAGCTTTGATCTTTATTGTGTTAGCTTCTTACCTATAAGGCATGCTTTTAGCTTTGTGTTATTCATCTAATTCGATTAAATAAAAATTAAGATTTAAATGTTTAAACAAATAAAATATACTACTGAAAACTCAGTGGTTTTTTACAAGTAATGTAAACTAAATTATTCTTTACTATATTATTTGTTACTTAATAAAATAGTTAAAACTGCAATTTAGTATCCTATTTAAACCTCTTTGCATAAGTGGTACAGAAAAAAACAACTAAAGCTCAATGCAATTACAGAGTTTTGAAACGGTAAAATATGTTGAATATTAAACCTGAAAATGACGATGCAGAAGAATACTCCGTTGAACCAAAACCGTTTGATGTGCTGTTCAAAAACAATGAAATAACTATAGTAGAGGATTATTTGGTAAAGAATGAAGTGGATGATACTTATGAGTAAGGCGATTTTTATTACCTTTTTTTTTATCTTGAACAAAACTATTAATACTTGTGCCTGATGGTATCAATATAAGAGTTTCGCTAACATTAAACTTATTTTAGGAGCCAATTGTTCATTTAATAATAGATTGATTGATTTAAAACTACATCTACCTCTTATCCATATAAAGATCCATTAAAATATTTAAAAAAACAAAATTGTAAACATTTTATTTGTGGGTGTGTTGTCTGCAACACCACATTATGTTAGCGTACGTTTTGTACGATACTTACCGAGTTATTTATATAAATATATAGAAAACATTTTTACAATTATTTTTTATTCTTTTATTAAGTTAAAAAAAAATGCGAATAAGTGTCATTTTTTATTACAAAAACTATATATTAAAATTTATGTTTTTTACTATTAAAAATTTCATTTATGTTAAATAGAAATTTTTATGAATAGATTAGGTAATCTAATTTTTTTTGAATTTATTATATGATTAATTTTCGCATTTAGAATGTAAACTAAATTATCTTTATTATATCATTAGTAGACTTTATTTGTTACTAAATAAAATAATTAAAATTGTTCAATTTAGTTGTTCTACTAATCCTCTATGCATATATAGCACAGAAATACAACTAATGTTTAATGTCAATTATAGAGTTTTGAAGCGGTTTAATATATTGAAAATTAAACCTGAAAATGATGAAACAGAAGAAGAGTTGTTGGAAAAATCGTTTGAAGTCAATGAAACTAAACCGTTTGATATGCAGTTCATAAACAATGAAATTTCTACAACAAATAAGTGTTTAGTAAAGAATGAAGTCGACAATAATTATGAGTAAGGTTATTTTTATTACCATTTTGTTTTTCTTGAACAAAACTTTAATACTTTTGTAATTATGTTATCCTCCTCCATAAACCCATCAGTGGTATCGATGTTAGCGTTTCGCTATTATTTAACTTATATTAGGAAATGCTTGTTTATATAATAATATATTATTTTAAAACCGCATCTACCTCTTATCAATATAATGTTAAATCAAAGTATCAAAAAAACAAAATTGTGAAAACATTTAATTGTGGGTTTGATGTCCGGTCAACATCTGCAGCATCGCATGATGTTAGCGTACGTTTGCGTTGGCATAAGAAGTACAGGGTTTTTTTATATACATATATAGAAAACTTTCATACATTGAAATATAAAAAAAATGCGAACCGGTGTCATTTTTTTAAATAAAATCTTAATGTTAACAGTTATAAAAAAAAAATAATGTAATAAGTAATGGGGTTTAGTTTAATTTTTATTAAATACATTTTTTAATTATCATAAATAAAAAATAAAAGTTGATATAAAATTTTAATGAAATAGACTATAAGTAATGTCCTCATAGTAAAATACTTAAAACTTTATAAAATATTATTAATTAGTCACATTTTGTTTTCTTTTCAAAGAGGTATTTATTATATGGATATGTCCCGTTTCTTATCTCTCATATTTTATTTCTAATATTATATCTCTACATTTTGTATCTACAATATCGTACATTTTATATCTTATCTATAATATCTCTAATCGCATATTTCTAATTTTTAGCCAGACATTAAATATTGTTTATCAGCTGTTTCATTCACAAAACATCCGCTTAATCGCGCCACACGCACACATTTTCCTCGGTAGCGTTCAGCGTCATTCAAGCATGCACGCAAAGATTTTCTTAATATCCCCAAGCCAAAAGACATATCCATGTCAAAAATATAGTTTAGTCGTTTATGAGAATTTATTATTATTTCTGTCAAGTTTAGGGTTAAAAGACGTCGGTCATAAAAAGTCTCAAGGTACTCTATGTAAAAGTGGACTTTAGATAGAGTACACTTTTTAAGTTTTAAATCTTATGGCACTCGGATGTTTATTGTCCATATTCTAATAAATGTGAACGTTACATTGTATTATGTAGGATAAGTTTAGGCAACTCGATCAAATAAAAATTGAGTAAAGAAGACTTTTGTATGTCATCTAAAATTAATCAAATTAATTCTTAAAAAGGATGCGTTGTATATTTAATATTAAAACTTGCTGTATGACATCAAAATATATTTGTCTTAAATTAATTTGTTTTGTTTCAAACGTGTTGCAGTATTTATTTTTCGTGTAAAGCGACAGATATCTCAAATAATACAAAGACAATGGATTGTAGTTTTAACGAAACTATAGATAATCATTCTCAGAAAGATATATACAAAATACGTCGGTTCGACTGCAATATGTGTCAAAGGAGGTTTACAACCAAAAGTAATATAATCCGGCATATTGCGAAATCGCATTCCAGTACTTCCATTGAAAAGAAAACACCTCAAAAAAATAAAGTCAATCATCGTAACAGCAAAATCAAAGGAAATACTCGAAACAAAGATGGCCTATTTAATTGTGGTATTTGTTTGAAAACGTTTTCATTAAAATCAAGCCTGAGAAGACATTGGCGCGTTCATACCGTGGAGAAACCCTTTAAATGCGATATCTGTGAAAAAACATTTGGTAGACAACATCACCTCAAGATTCATGAACGCATACATACTGGTGAGAAACCGTTTAAATGCGATGTCTGTAAAAAAACGTTTGGTAGACAACATCACCTCAAAGCTCATGAACGCATACATACTGGTGAAAACCCGTTTAAATGCGATGTCTGTGAAAAAAAATTCGGTCAACAATCTGATCTCAAGAAACATGCTCGTATACATACCGGTGAGAAACCTTACAAATGCGATATCTGTCAAAAAACATTCAATCAACATTCTAATCTCAAGAAACATGTACGTATACATAACGGCGAGAAACCTTTTAAATGCGATATCTGTAAAAAGTCTTTTTGTGACCAATTCAACCTAAAAACTCACGAAAGAACACATACCGGGGAGAAACCTTATAAATGCGTTGTCTGTGAAAAAACATTCGGTCAACAATCTGATCTCAAGAATCATGCACGTGTACATACCGGCGAGAAACCGTTTAATTGTGGTATTTGTTTAAGAACTTTTTCATTCAAATCAAGGCTGAGACGACATTGGCGCGTTCATACTGGGGAGAAACCCTTTAAATGCGATATCTGTGAAAAAACATTTGGTAGACAACATCACCTCAAGATTCATGAACGCATACATACTGGTGAGAAACCGTTTAAATGCGTTGTCTGTGAAAAAACATTCGGTCAACAATCTGATCTCAAGAAACATGCACGTGTACATACCGGCGAGAAACCGTTTAAAAGCGATGTCTGTGAAAAAACATTCAGTCAAAAGTTCTCTCTCATAATTCATGAACGCATACATATTGGTGGGGTGCGATACAAATGCTCAGCCTGTGACAAATCATATGGTCGCCAAGATACTCTCAAAAGGCATCAAGCAAAAGCACACGGCTCATAGATTCATAAACCTTACGTGACTATAAGGCAGTTTTTCAAAATCGATTTGTTATTGTTTTGCAATTTTTTTTACTTACGATTTATTACAGATTTAGTATACTTTTATTAGTTTTCTTATAATATTTAATTTATTACTATCGTTTAACAGATCAATAACATAAGTATTAGTATTTAATTTATTTTTTCGACGGATCGCATGAATTATTTAGTATTTATATTTTTATAATGTATTTTTTAATTTTCATAATCTACACACACAATATGCTAAAAAATATTGTTACTATTCTTATTTTTTATTATAAAATGTTAGTAGTATTTTTAGTTACAGATGGTTTTGAAGAGAATGGTTTATAATATATGTTAATTTGTATTTTAAAATTGATTTTTATTTTAAAAAATTTGTTAATTTTTGAGCGTTGAGTTATGCGTACCATGTTTAAAATCAAAATAAAATATTTTATTATTTCGTCAATTATGATTACATTATGTTAGTTTCATTCATATTTTTAGAATAAGTTTTTCGTTTTTTTAATTCGAAGAATTATTAAGATTGAACGACAGTAAACCAAACCTGACCATTATTAATAAATGTCATTTGGGAAATAAAGGAGAATATGCCTACTTCAATATATACGTTTATTATTAAATAATTTTGTTCAATATATTTGTGTGATTAGTTCCATGAAAACATAATACCGTGTTTGAGAGTAACAACATTAGTTTTATATTGAGACTAATATTGGATTTTTTATAAAAAATTTTTCAAATAATTACTATAATATTGGAATTTTAAAAGATTTATGTAAATGGATAAATTATATGACTATAATAAACAATCTGTTTAAGTGTTCGTCAAATATCGTCTATGTTTAAAGAACTATTCGTAAGTGCCACTTTTGTTTGGGCATGCACCATTTTGACTTGGCTAAACATGTTCGTCTAAGACATCGGCTATCCGCCTCTTTGATTGTGATATATTTACTTTGACGGGTTGTTAAATTACTATGTCCATGTTGAGGATTACGGTTCTACGTTGTGTGAGTACATATTGTTTTGTATTTCTAATTTATATACATTATTGCCGTGTTTACTGTCTCCCGAGGACTTAAAACACTGCTTGTGAATAAAAAGAATCATAATTTATATGTGGTTGTTTATTACTTATTATTTATCCGGAGTTGATTAGAGTAATAAGGGATCAACACAATTTTAAATTAATCTAATTGGCAAAATGGGCAATCGTCTAGCTTTGATCTGTATTGTGTTAGCTTCTTACCTACAATTCATGCTTGTAGCTTTGGGTTATTAATCTTACTTTATTTGTTACTTAATAAAATAGTTTAAATTGTGCAATTTATTTGTCCTATTTAACCTATATGGATATACGATACAGAAATAACACTTGTGTTAAATGTCAATTATAGAGTTTTGAAGCGTTATAATATGTTGAAAATTAAAGATGAAATTGATGAAACAGAAAAATACTTTTTTCAAACAACGTTTGGAGCCGTTGAACCAAAACCGTTGGATGTGCCGTTTGAAAACAATGAAATATCTACAACAGAGGAGTATTTGGTGAAGAATGAAGTCGACAATACTTATGAGTAAGGCTATTTGTATTAATATTTTGTGTTTACTAAATAAAACAAAAAAGCTTTTGTAATGCTGTAGTCCTCCGTAATTAAAAAAAAAAATTAAATCAATGTCCTTAATAATTTACAAAATAGTATTAATAATATTGTTTAAATAATTATTTTCAACGTTAAAAAAAGTAAAGAGATATTTAAACTTTCCTTGAGTAACCTAATCCACTTATTATTACCCTCTTTTTACTTAGCTTGTTTTTTTAGCTATTATAGATGATTAGTGTGTATAGTATTTTAAACATTACATTTTATTTAAAACTTATCGATCAGTCAAAATATTTAGTGAAATATATACTTTATTAAAATATTTGTTTAATTTATTTTAGAAGTTATATAGATAGAATACATGAGTAATTTTGTTTTGTATAATAGTAAATTATAAAAAAATACTTAACAGTCCAATTTACTAATCTAATTAATGATAAAAGCCTAAATACACAATAGAATAATATTTTGGGTTTTGTTAGTTACTGAGTTGATTCGCATTATGATATGTCCAACAATAAACACCAAACTGACAAGTTTGTAAATGAAACACAGTTTAAAACCCAAATATATTCAATTCAGCTGTTAGAATTTGATCATGTAAAAATTTACCACTGAAAAATTGGTTGGTTTATATTTTCAAAATAATGTGAACTAAATTATTCTTTTTTATTATGTTCAAGCTTCAGGCACTTAGTCAGTAAGCTGTCTTCTTTGTTATATCATTATTATTACTATATTTGTTACTAAATAAAATAGCTAAAATTGTACAATTTAGTCGTCCTACTAATCCTCTATGCATATATAGCACAGAAATACAACTAATGTTAAATGTCAATTATAGAGTTTTGAAGCGGTTTAATATATTGAAAATTAAACCTGAAAATGATGAAACAAAAGAAGAGTTGTTGGAAAAATCGTTTGAAGTCGTTGAAACTAAACCGCTAGATATGCAGTTCATAAACAATGAAATTTCTACAACAAATAAGTGTTTGGTAAAGAATGAAGTCGACAATAATTATGAGTAAGGTTATTTTTATTACCATTTTTTTTTCTTGAACAAAACTTTAAAACGTTTGTAATTATGTTATCTTCCTCCATAAACCCATCATTGGTATTGATGTTAGTGTTTCGCTATTATTAAACTTATAAAAGGAACCACTTGTTCCTTTAATAATATATTATTTTAAAACCGCATCTACCTCTTATCAATATAATGTTAAATCAAAGCACTTATCTTTTCCTTCTTCTATACTTGTAGTTTGTTTATAGGCTATAATAAAACATTAGGGATTATATTATTTATATTAATATATACATATATAATACATAAGTAAAGATTAATACCACTTTAAATTTAGTCGGCCAAATGGGCTATTGTCCAGCTTAAATCTTCATGGTATTAGCTTTTTATCTACAAGTCATACTTGTAGTTTTGTGTTATTGATCTAATTAAGATAAATTAAAATTTAGTTATAAATGTTTAAAAAACACAAAATATACCTATGAACTTGTAGTTATGCTGTTCTCCTCTATAAACCCTTCGTTGGTATCGATGTTAGCGTTCCGTTATTAAACTTATTATAGGAAGTACTTGTTCATATAATAATAGATTGTTTTAAAACTACATCTACCTCTTATAAATATAAAGTTAAATCAAAATATTAAAAAAAAAAAATTGTATTTTATTAATTTGTGGGTATGATGTCTGCAATATTACATTATGTTAGTGTACGCTCGCACGATACTTACCGTGTTATATTTAATATAAATATATATAAAACTTTTTTACTATTATTTTTCAACTTGGAATTTTGCTGTCCCACTCCATAACCCCATCGTTGGTATTGATGTTAGCGTTTCGCTATCATTAAACTTATTTTAGAAACCACTTATGCGTATAATACCAGATTGTTTTGAAACCGCATCTACCTCTTATCAATAATTATATTGATAAGAGGTAGATTTCTAATGTAATGTTCAATCAAAGTATCAAAACAAAAAAAAATTGTTATTTATTTGTGGATATGATGACCGGTCGACGTCTGCAGTATCCCATAATGTTAGCTTACGCTTGCGTTTGCATGAGACTTACCGTGTTTATTTATATACACATATAGAAAACATTCATACATTAAAATAGAAAAAAAATGCGAACAGGTGTAATTTTTTAAAATAAAATTTTAATGTTAACAGTTATAAAAAAAAAACAATGTATTAAGTAATGGGGTTTGTTTAATTTTTATTAAATACATTTTTTAAATATCAAAAATAAAAATTAAAAGTTGATGGAAAATTTTAATGAAATAGACTATAAGTAATATCCTTTTAGTAAAATACTTAAAACTTTCAAAATTGTTAAATCAATAAAATTAATTCTTAAAAATGATGCGTGTATGATGGATTGTACATTTAATATTAGTAATATTAATGCTTGCTGCATAACATCAAAATATATTTGTCTTAATTTAATCTGTTTTGTTTCAAACGTGTTGCAGTATTTATTTTTCGTGTAAAGCGACCGATACCTCAAATCACACAAAAACTATAGATTGCAATTTTATTGAAACTATAAAAAACATTTCTAAGAGAAATATGTACAAAAAACGTCGGTTCGACTGCAATATATGTCAAAGGAGGCTTACAACCAAAAGTAATATAATCCGGCATATTGCGAACTCGCATTCGAGTACTTCCACTGGAAAGAAAACACCTCTTAAAAATAAAGTCACTCATCGTAACAGGAAAATCAAAGGAAATACTCTAAACAAAGATGGCTTATCTAATTGTGGTATTTGTTTGAGAACTTTTTCATTAAAATCAAGCCTGAGAAGACATTGGCGCGTTCATACCGAAGAGAAACCCTTTAAATGCGATATCTGTGAAAAAACATTTGGTAGACAATCTTACCTCAAAACTCATGAACGCATACATACCGGCGAGAAACCATTTAAATGCGTTATCTGTCAAAAAACATTCAATCAACATTCTAATCTCAAGAAACATGTACGTATACGTAACGGCGAGAAACCTTTTAAATGCGATATCTGTAAAAGTCTTTTTGTGACCAATCCAACCTAAAAACTCACGAAAGAACACATACCGGGAGAAACCATTTAAATGCGATGTCTGTAAAAAGTCTTTTTGTGACCTATCTAACCTCAAAGTTCATGAAAGAACACATACCGGCGAGAAACCATTTAAATGCGATGTCTGTGAAAAAACATTCAGTTTAAAGTCCTCTCTCATAACTCATGAACGCATACATATTGGTGGGGTACGACACAAATGCTCAGTCTGTGATAAATCATATGGTCGCCAAGATTCCCTCAAAAGTCATCAAGCAAAAGCACACGGCTCATAGATTCATAAACCTCACGTGGCTATTCGGCAGTTTCAAAATAGTTTTTCAAAATCTATTTGTTTATTTTTTTTACTTAGGATTTAATTCAGATCTAATATATTTTTATTCGTTTTCTTATCATTTTTAAGTATTTCTATCGTTTAACTGATTATTAACATACACACTTGCACAAAGACATTTAGTGAAACCAATGTGTTTTATACATGTTTAGCGTGTACTCAACATGTTATTTAATTTGGCAATTTAGTTTTACTGTTAAATTGAGTAACTTAAGATTGTACAAACTTTACCAATAGATATCAATGTATTTAGTATTTACATTTAGTGTTAGTTTGTAGAAACGTATTTACCCATATAAATTTACTTTTTATTCTTGACTAAAATGAACAAACATGTGCTTAAATCGAAAACTGTGTAGATAATTATTACCTATATACTGTTATAATTATATAGCATAATATTAATATTATTCGAAAATTGTTTCAGAACACTTCTGCATAATTAGGATATTTTCTCGTTTAAGTATTCTTACATGCTTAATTAAATTAATTATTATTAAATAATAGTTAATGAATTAAACTTATTTTTAAAATGTTATACATTTTTCTGTATTGTTGATTCATTCGTATTTGTTAATTCTTTTGGAGATTAATGAGTTGCTACAGCCTACGGAAAGAAATTGTTTAAGCGTTTTAAAACACAAAAATATAAGAATGTGAGACCAAATTTTTAAAATCAATACACTCTCAGCTCCGCATAGAAGTTAAAAATATTACTTCTGTTTATTATGCTTTGTGTTGTATTAGCTTTGATGCGATGCTGAAAAACTAATACAATGATATTGACTCAATGCGTTTTTCTAGTTCATCTCTTCTACCTTCTTAATCTAAAATAACTCACTAAAAATTAAAGCATTTTAGCTTCGATGCAAAGCGAGAAGGTATTGGTTTTACTCTGATGTGGGCTTTTTTGTTAGCTGTACGCACTGTAACTTTTTAATACTAGACCAATTCCTTCGAATAGCAACTCTATAAATCACAAATTTTATCTAGTTTGTTCTTTGGAGGGGGGGGGGTAAAAGTTGAAAAAGTTGAATTCTTCACAGACGAAATTTAAAAAACCCGTACGAGTTTTTAAGTTAGAACTTGAACTCAACTATGAGTTATAAGGTCAAACTACCTGCAAATCATGAAGAGGTCTGTTGTTTTTTGGATTCAGATTAAGTGTTGGGTTTTATGCAGTATACCGCCTTAAAATGTGTTTTTTATTACACAATTTTTTTAAAGGAAAACTAATGTTTTGCATAATATTATACTGTTTTCATTTAAAGAGATTCACGCTTGATTGTTTAAATTGTCTAATATTACATAACCTGCTTCGTGCTAATTTTAATTTTTTAGTTTATAACTTGTAGCTCTAATTTTGTTAAAATATTTCATTATTTTATTACTATGTACAAGTTAAGATAAATTTTAATGATAATTAAGTCATAAATGATAATACTTAACATCATGATATCAGCTCCTATGCTTTTATTAAAATAACACAATTTTTAAAATCTCCATAAAAGGTTATTGTTAAATAACAGGCAACAGCCGACCGCTAGTGGCTATAAACGTTAGTAATATTTAACTAATATGTAATATATGTAGGTAAAATTTATTGTTTTCTCCATCATAGTACCAGTATACGATTTATTTTAATTTAAATGTAAGGAATTCGATTTTTCTTTAGAAAATAACAAGATATTAATATACAGGATGATTACATTTTAATTTAAGTAAATTAAAATGTAGTTTTAAATGTTTAAAAATAACAAATTATATCACTCAAAACTTTTGATTATGTAAACAAAATTGTCTTTTATATCATTATTATTACTATATTTGTCACCAAATAAAATAACTAAAATGGTGTCGTTAAGACATCCTATTAATCTTTTCTGCATATATGGCACAGAAATATAACCAAAATTAAATATCAATCACAGTTAGTTTTTATTTTTCAAATAATGTACAGTTTTCTCTTAATAACAAGATATTAATATACAGGTTGAGGCAGTAAAACGGCAATTTTCTAATGTATTTAAATGGGAAACCCCGTTTCACTATCCCACCCTTTACATTTTAAGGATCTATGAATAGATTTTTTCAGTTGCATTTTATTTTGTACATTGTGAATCTAGTAAAATAAAAGTATAATATAGCTTTGAAATAATATAATCTGTAAAGTATAAATATTTTGTGTGAGATTGCTCTGATGGAAGTATATAATATATATTATATGTAGTATATAAGTATATAGTATAAATATTAATTTTATTGAAAATTTAAAAATTAGACCGAAGGTATGAAGGGATCAAGAATAGAAGTATAGGTACAATTTTTCAAAATTCTGTGGTCAAGCGTTTATTTTAAAGTGATTATATCACTTTCAGTTAAAACATTTCCTGTAGACCTGTGACATCCCAGTCTCCACTATGCTCAACTGTACTGGCTTTCTTCAACACCTATTTTTGGTTGATATTATTATATTAAATATTTAATTTACAAGTAGGGGCAAGGGCGGATACAACCGGGTGAATAGGGGCAATTGCCCCCCCGTTCACAAAAAAAGTATCAAATATTCCATTTGTAATTAATTGTGACTAAAATTTTGTTCATGCAAGTTATCGAGAGAGGGTCGTTATTGTATTTACCATGAACATTTATTTTTTTATTGAAAATTGTCCATTTTTATTTTATTGAAATAGTGTTTACGGCATTCGAAGCGCCACATTTTACGTACAACTGGTTATTTATGGGGTTTGACACAGTTCACATACAAAGATATATGATATTACCTGCTATATTCTTCGGTTTTGCGATAACACTAGTCACCAAGACAATCTATTTTTAAATTAATATGACGTACTACAATGGCTTTACCGCTCCTCGCTGCTTGCCGCATTAGTTTTGTTTTGACAGTAGTTTAATTTATTTTATAAACAAATAATATGAAGTTATTATATTATGGTTTAACTTTGACAAGAGCTTCAAAAAAAAAGTATTGTAGACCAAGTTATCGCTATATTTGTTGGACTCCGTCTCACAAGTCGTGTTTGCGGAGACCAATATAAAATTTTACTAAATCATCTAAAATCAATCAAATCTAAAAAAATCATTAGTTTAATAGTTAATCTAGAGCCAAATCTTTTTTTTTTTTTAAGTAAGCAAAATGGTGACCTCTGATTATTTAATCGCCGATTTTCAATGAAAAATGCACTAGTTTATTGTTTATAAAAAATATAATTTTAAATAAAAAAAAACCTTTGATCAGGCACTAGTTTTTCATGCTTTTAATAAGCTGTATAAATTTCATTCAAATCTGTGAAGTGGTTTTTGAATTACAGTGGTCACCGTCTTTGAAGAAATAGTTTCGAGAAAAACTTATTTGAAAAGTTTTATACTCGATTCATGTATACAAAAATAAATTATTTAATTACTTACATCGAATTATCTATTCCTTTGATTAACTTAAAATTTTCAGATAATATTTTCAAGACATTATACTTTAAGAAAATACAAATTAAAAAAATCGAATATTTGAAAATCCTGACTACCCCTAACACCTAAGTTTTTCATTCATAACTAAAAGTAGGTGTCTTCTAAAACAATAAAACCCATCACATTCATCAGTATGGCTGATTTCTGTACATATCTAATTTTCATGACGACATATAATAAGACAATTCCTATGCCTAGCTATTCCTATTAATTTATTTTATTCATATATATATATATTGCCCCCCCTGTTTAGGACCTCTGTATCCGCCCTTGGTGGGGGGCCTAAGTATTCTAACACAATTAGCGAAAAGTGTGTCCATGGCGGATAAAGCCTAAGGTAAACTCATTTATTAATTTTATAGGATGTCGATGAAGGTAAGATTACAATAAGCTTGATACAAGAGTTGGGAATTTTATTTCTTTGCCTCCTAAATTGCACGACCGTTTACCTCCACGCTACAAAGTACGTCCATCTGTAGCAATCACTTGTTATCACACAAATACACTATCTGTCCATATAATTTCTGCGTTTGTCATTCAGTTTGCATTGAAATCACAACTAATGTGGTGATAGTTAGTATCACCACCTACTCTACCGCGGTGTCGGTTGGTACTACTACCTACCGTACCACCTACTGCGCCGGGTGTAGCGTTAAGACGCCGGCCCAGCTGCTAGCCAGCTGCCATCTTCGGTCCGCCAATCGATAATCTCGCACGACATCGTCTACACGCTCGGCGTTTTTTTTTCAAGCAGACATTCTGTTAATTACTTGTGTCGAATCTTGTTCGTTAATAATTTGTAATCTTGTCCCTGATTTGTTAATAACTTTGTGCTGTACACGTTAGGTAAATATACAAGCTGTTATATTTAAATAAATAAAACTGCCAATTTGTTTGCAGTATTGGTGCCACGGGTCCGATTCGCGAACATCTCTAGATTTCAATCATAAAACTTGGCCGAATTCTGCGATTAATACCTTAAGTATTGCGTCGTGTTTCGTTATTTCGTTACAATTGTGTTTTGTCTTGCATGTCAATAATTTATTAGAAGTTTTTATTAGCAGCTCTGGAAGGCGGTTTACGGTTCTACATTGTGTGAGTACCTATTGTTTTGTATTTCTAATTTATATACATTATTGCCGTGTTTACGTCTCCCGAGGACTTAAAACACTGCTTGTAAATAAAAAGAATCATAATTTATATGTGGTTGTTTATTACTTATTATTTATCCGGAGTTGAGTAGAGTGATATGGGATCAACACCATTTTAAAATAATCTAGTCGGCAAAATGGTCAATCGTCTAGCTTAAATCTTTATTGTGTTAGCTTTTTACCTATAAGTCATGCTTGTAGCTTTGTGTTATTTATCTAATTCGAGTAAATTAAAATTAAGTTTTAAATGTTTAAAAGAACAAAATATACTACTGAAAACTCAGTGGTTTTTATTTTTTTAAGTAATGTAAAGTAAATTATTCTTTACTATATCATTGTTATTACTTTAATTGTTACTTAATAAAATAGTTAAAACTGCAATTTAGTAGTCCTATTTAAACCTCTTTGCATAAGTGGTACAGAAAAACAACTAAAGTTCGATGTCAATTACAGAGTTTTGAAACGGTAAAATATGTTGAATATTAAACCTGAAAATGACGATGCAGAAGAATACTCCGTTCAACCAAAACCGTTTGATGTGCTGTTCAAAAACAATGAAATAACTATAGTAGAGGATTATTTGGTTAAGAATGAAGTAGATGATACTTATGAGTAAGGCGATATTTATTACCATTTATTTTATCTTGAACAAAACTATTAAAACTTGTGCCTGATGGTATCAATATAAGCGTTTCGCTAACATTAAACTTATATTAGGAACCATTTGTTCATTTAATAATAGATTGATTGATTTAAAACTACATCTACCTCTTATCCATATAGAGATCCATTAAAATATTAAAAAAAACAAAATTGTAAACATTTTATTTGTGGGTGTGTTGTCTGCAGCACCACATTATGTTAGCGTACGTTTTGTACGATACTTACCGAGTTATTTATATAAATATATAGAAAACATTTTTACAATTATTTTTCATTCTTTTATTAAATTAAAAAAAAATGCGAATAAGTGTCATTTATTATTACAAAAACTATATATTAAAATTTATGTTTTTTTACTATTAAAAATTTCATTTATGTTAAATAGAAATTTTTATGAATAGATTAGGTAATCTAATTTTTTTGAATTTATTATATAATTAATTTTCGCATTTAGAATGTAAACTAAATTATCTTTATTATATCATTAGTAGACTATATTTGTTACTAAATAAAATAGCTAAAGTTGTACAATTTAGTCGTCCTACTAATCCTCTATGCATATATAGCACAAAAATACAACTAATGTTAAATGTCAATTATAGAGTTTTGAAGCGGTTTAATATATTGAAAATTAAACCTGAAAATGATGAAACAAAAGAAGAGTTGTTGGAAAAATCGTTTGAAGTCCATGAAAACAAACCGTTTGATATGCAGTTCATAAACAATGAAATTTCTACAACAAATAAGTGTTTAGTAAATAATGAAGTCGATAATAATTATGAGTAAGGTTATTTTTATTACCATTTTTTTTTCTTAAACAAAACTTTAAAACTTTTGTAATTATGTTATCCTCCTCCATAAACCCATCAGTGGTATCGATGTTAGCGTTTCGCTATTATTTAACTTATATTAGGAACTGCTTGTTTATATAATAATATATTATTTTAAAACCGCATCTACCTCTTATCAATATAATGTTAAATCAAAGTATCAAAAAAACAAAATTGTGAAAACATTTAATTGTGGGTTTGATGTCCGGTCAACGTCTGCAGCATCGCATGATGTTAGCGTACGTTTGCGTTCCATATTCTAATTAATGTGAACGTTACATTGTATTATGTAGGATAAGTTTAGGCAACTCGATCAAATAAAAATTGAGTAAAGAAGACTTTTGTATGTCATCTAAAATTAATCAAATTAATTCTTAAAAAGGATGCGTTGTATATTTAATATTAAAACTTGCTGTATAACATCAAAATATATTTTTCTTAAATTAATTTGTTTTGTTTCAAACGTGTTGCAGTATTCATTTTTCGTGTAAAGCGACAGATATCTCAAATAATACAAAGACAATGAATTGTAGTTTTAACGAAACTATAGATAATCATTTAAAGAAAAATATATACAAAATACGTCGGTTCGACTGCAATATGTGTCAAAGGAGGTTTACAACCAAAAGTAATATAATCCGGCATATTACGAAATCGCATTCCATTGAAAAGAAAACACCTCAAAAAGTCAATCATCCTAATAGCAAAATCAAAGAAAATACTCGAAACAAAGATGGCCTATTTAATTGTGGTAATTGTTTGAAAACGTTTTCATTAAAATCAAGCCTGAGAAGACATTCGTGCATTCACACGGAAAAGCCCTTTAAATGCAATGTCTGTGAAAAAGCATTCATTCATCAATCTAATCTCAAGAGACATACACGTATACATACCGGCGAGATCCCTTTTAAATGCGATGTCTGTCAAAAGGCTTTTTGCGACCAATCTTACATCAAAATTCATAAAAGGATACATACCGGCGAGAAGCCCTTTAAATGCAACATTTGTGAAAAAAAATTTGGTCAGATATCTCACCTCAAAACTCATGAACGCATACACACCGCCGAGAAACCTTTTAAGTGCGATGTCTGTGAAAAAACATTCAGTCATCAATCTGCTCTCAAGAGGCATGCACGTATTCATACCGGCGAGAAACCGTTTAAATGCGATGTCTGTGAAAAAACATTCAGTCATCAATCTGCTCTCAAGAGACATGCACGTATTCATACCGGCGAGAAACCGTTTAAATGCGTTGTCTGTGAAAAAATATTCAGTCAACAAACTCATCTCAAGAACCATGCACGTATTCATACCGAAGAGAAACCCTTTAAATGCGATGTCTGTGAAAAATGTTTTAATATACAATCTAACCTCAAAGTTCATGAAAGAACACATACCGGCGAGAAACCATTTAAATGCGATGTCTGTGAAAAAATATTCAGTTTAAAGTCCTCTCTCATAACTCATGAACGCATACATATTGGTGGGGTACGACACAAATGCTCAGTCTGTGATAAATCATATGGTCGCCAAGATTCCCTCAAAAGTCATCAAGCAAAAGCACACGGCTCATAGATTCATAAACCTTACGTGACTATTTGGCAGTTTTTCAAAATCGATTTGTTATTATTTTGCAATTTTTTTTACTTACGATTTATTTCAGATCTAATATATTTTATTCGTTTTCTTATAATATTTACTTTATTACTATCGTTTAACAGATCAATAACATAAGTATTAGTTTTTAATTTATTTTTTCGACGGATCACATGAATTATTTAGTATTAATATTTTTATAATGTATTTTTTAATTTTCATAATCTACACACACAAAATGCTAAACAATTTTGTTACTATTCTTATTTTTTATTATAAATATGTTAGTAGTCTTTTTAGTTACAGATAGTTTTGAAGAGAATGGTTTATAATATATGTTAATTTGTATTTTAAAATTGATTTTTAATTTAAAATATTTGTTAATTTTTGAGCGTTGAATTATGCGAACCGTGTTTAAAATCAAAATAAAATATTTTATTATTTCGTCAATTATGATTACATTATGTTAGTTTCATTCATATTTTTAGAATAAGTTTTTCGTTTTTTTAATTCTTAGAATTATTAAGATTGAACCTGACCATTATTAATAAATGTCATTCGGGAAAGTAAGGAGAATATGCCTACTTCAATATATACGTTTATTATTAAATAATTAGTAAAAATAATTTTGTTCAATATATTTGTGTGATTAGTTCCCAAGAAAACATAATACCGTGTTTGAGAGTAATAACATTAGTTTTATATTGAGACTTTTTTTTTATAAACATCTTTTTCAAATAATTACTATAATATTGGATTTTTAAAAGATTTATGTAAATGGATAAATTATATAACTATAATAAACAATCTGTTTAAGTGTTCGTCAAATATCGTCTATGTTTGAAGAACTATTCGTAAGTGCCACTTTTGTTTGGGCATGCACCATTTTGACGTGGCTAAACATGTTCGTCTAAGACATCGGCTATCCGCCTCTTTGATTGTGACATATTTAATTTGACGGGTTGTTAAATTACTCCGCCTTGTTGAGGCTCGTTTAAGACAATTTAGTTAAAATGAAAAGTATATTTCACTAAGACTAATACAGTCTAATGATTAAAGACTTTTAGAAATATAGTATAATTGTTTAGTGTTTTAAATCGTAAAATATAGAAGCATTTGAAAAAAAAAAGGGTTTTATTGTGTTATTTCTTTTATTAAGCTTTGATACAAGAGTTTGGAATTTAATTTATTTGCCTCTTGAAATGCACGAGAGTTTACCTTCACGCTACAAAGTACCTCCATCTGTGGCAATCACTCGTTATCAAGCAAACGCACACTATCACAAATCTGTCCATACAATTTCTGCGTTGTGTCGCGCACCGTGCAGTTTGCATTAAAATCACAATTGAAATAAAAGTTTTGATTTTTAATTAAGATTAAAATTTGTACACTCTGCTGAAGTTCTGTGAATCAAACTAGTGAAACAATTAGATTGAGCGCCCTAGGTACAATTGGTTTTCTGTATTGTCGCCACGGCCCCGCTTCGTGAGAATATCTAGATTTAATCATAATTACTTGGTCGAATTCTGTGATAAACACCTAACGTACTGCGTTGTGTTTCTTTATTTCGTTTCAAGTTGCGTTACAATTGAGTTTTGTCTTGCATGTCAATAGTTTATTATAAGTTTTCAGTAGCAGCCCTGGAAAGCGGATTACGGTTCTACGTTGTGTGAGTACCTATTGTTTTGTATTTCTAATTTATATACATTATTGCCGCGTTTACTGTCTCCCGCGGACTTAAAACACTGCTTTTGAATAAAAAGAATCATAATTTATTTGGTAGCTTGTTACCTATTATTTATCCGGAGTTGAGTAGAGTAATATAGGATCAACACCATTTTAAATTAATCTAGTCGGCAAAATGGGCAATCCTCTAGCTTTGATCTTTATTGTGTTAGTTTCTTACCTTCAAGTCATGCTTGTAGCTTTGGGTTATTAATCTTACTTTATTTGTTACTTAATAAAATAGTTAAAATTGTGCAATTTATTTGTTTATGCTACAAAGTACCTCCATCTGTGGCAATCACTCGTTATCACACAAACACACACTATTTGTCCATACAATTTCTGCGTTGTCAAGCACTGTGCGGTTTGCATTAAAATCACAATTATTATGAAATAAAAGTTTTGATTTTGTTAGTAATTAAGATTTATTTTTGTACACTCTGCAGTTCTGTAAATCAACCTAGTTAAATTAGATTTAGCGCCATAGGTACAATTTGTTTTCTGTATTGTCGCCACGGGTCCGATTCGTGAACATCTCTAGATTTTAATCATAATAACTTGGTCGAATTCTGTGATAAATACCTAACGCACTACGTTGTTTCTTTATTTTGTTTCAAGTTACAATTGAGTTTTGTCTTGCATGTCAATAATTTATTATAATTTTTCATTAGCAGCTCTGGAAGGCAGTTTACGGTTCTACGTTGTGTGAGTACCTATTGTTTTGTATTTCTAATTTATATACATTATTGCCGTGTTTACTGTCTCCCGAGGACTTAAAACACTGCTTGTGAATAAAAAGAATCATAATTTATATTTGGTTGCTTATTACTTAATATTTACCCGGAGTTGAGCAGAGTTATATGGGATCAACACCATTTTTAATTAATCTAGTTGGCAAAATGGCCAATCGTCTAGCTTTGATCTTTATTGTGTTAGCTTCTTACCTATAAGTCATGCTTGTAATTTGTCAATTATAGAGTTTTGAAGCTGTATAATATGTTAAAAATTAAACCTGAAAATGACGATGCAGAAGAATACTCTGTTGAATAAACGTTCGGAGTCGTTGAACCAAAACCGTTAGATGTGCTGTTCAAAACCATTGAAATATCTACAACAGAGGAGTATTTGGTTAAGAATGAAGTCGATGATACTTATGAGTAAGGCGATTTTTATTACCATTTTTTTTATCTTGAACAAAATTATTAAAACTTGTGCCTGATGGTATCAATATAAGAGTTTAACTAAGATTTAACTTATATTGGGAACCACTTGTTCATTTAATAATAGATTGATTGATTTAAAACTACATCTACCTCTTATCAATACAAAAATCCATTAAAATATTAAAAAAAAAAAAAAAATTGTAAACATTTAATTTGTGGGTATGTTGTCTGCAGCACCACATTATGTTAGCGTAAGTTTTGTACGATACTTACCGAGTTAGTTATATAAATATATAGAAAACATTTTTACAATTATTTTTCATTTTTTTATTAAGTTAAAAAAAATGCGAATAAATGTCATTTTTTATTACAAAAACTTTATATTAAAATTCATGTTTTTTTACTATCAGAAATTTCATTTATGTTAAATAGACATTTTTTATGAATAGATTAGGCTATCTAATTTTTTTAAAATTTATAATATGATTAATCTTCGAGTTTAGAATGTAAACTAAATTATCTTTACTATATCATTATTAGACTATATTTGTTACTAAATAAAATAATTAAAATTGTGCAATTTAGTTGTCCAAATAAACCTCTTTGCATATATGGCACAGAAATACAACTAATGTTAAATGTCAATTATAGAGTTTTGAAGCGGTATAATATATTAAAAATTAAACCTGAAAATGACGATGCAGAAGAATGCTCCTTTGAAAAATCTAAACCGTTAGATGTGCTGTTCATAAACAATTCAATTTCTACAACAGAGGAGAATTTGGTAAAGAATGAAGTCGACAATACTTATGGGTAAGGTGATATTTATTAAAAAATAATTTTTATCTTAAATAAAACTATTAACTGGTGTTTATGTTGTTCTCCTTTATACACCTAACGTTGTTATCCATGTTAGCGTTCCGCTATTAAACTTATATTAGGAACTACTTGCTAATATAATAATAGATTGTTTTATAACTGCATTTACCTCTTATCAACATATTGTTAAATCAAAGTATAAAAAAAAAAAAAAATTTTAAACATTAATTGGTGGGTATGATGACCGGTTTACATCTGCAGTATCGCATTATTGTTAGCGTACGTTAGCATGGGACTTAAATGTGTTATACATATAAATGACAAAGATGGAAGTAGTAGTAATTTGGGGCTTTACCGCCCATTTTTACAAATTATAGTTTAACCTTATATATTGTTTAGTTTAGAAAATTATTTGTAACATTGAGTGTTTTACTAAATAAGAAGTGGAAGAAATAAATCATATATAAACATGTTTCAAATAAATTATAGTCATTTTAATTCAATTTAAACAGTATAATAATGGATGATTATAATAGTGAATGTGATGTTTTTTGTACATTAGACTATTTAGATTGTAAAACGCGTAACAAGACTTTTGATAAATGTAGTAATACACTACTTATTTCAAAGCGAGAACTTATGAGTGAAGCCGGTTTTATTTATATTGGTGATGGATCAAATGATGATGTCTTATGTTTTTATTGTCGTCAAGGTCTGAGATCTTGGGAGCCGAACGACGAACCTTGGATCGAGCATGCAAGATGGTCTCCAGATTGTGGTTATCTTCGGTTAGTGAAGGGTTCACCTCATTGATTTTAAAACCTATTAAATAAAAAAAAAAGATGTTAATTTATTACAACATTCTTACATTTAAATTAACTCTTTAAATACTAGTAAAACCATGAATTCACATTGTAGACGCAGTTGCGTAGTAGGTTAAGGCGTGACTTTCTAGGATAAATTTAATAGGATGTGGATTGATAGCACTCATGCTAGGCTAGGTAGGTTGAGGTTGAGTCATACTTTAATTCACTCCGTCACTGCGTCTACACTTTTTGCATTTTTTTTTTTCCAATTTAAAAATAAAATATAGCGGTAAGAAGAGGGGGGGGGGCTAATATAGTTAATCAAATGTTTTTCAAGTGTTTAGTACATAGAGTTTCGTATAGTAGTACAGTCGATGTTAAAAGTATTATTCCAAGCACAATGCCTTGTATTAAATGTAGTCTACTAGAAGCTATTTATAATTTTATAATTAAATTAGACAAAATTGAACATTCAAATATAGAAAAATCTACATCTAAAACAAAACTTGAGGAATCTTTTGAAGAAGTTCTACACCAGACAAAAGAAT